AACCCCAACTCTTGCTTTTGAGGACGACTGCTCTAACCATTCAGCCACAGCCGCCCTGAAAGTGAACCAAGAGCCAGTGAAGGGAGGCCTAAACTGGAGTAATGTGCTCTGTTTTGCCTGTACCAGTTAAAAATTAGACTGCAGCATTTTGAACCGGTTGTAATCGTGCAATAGATGTCTGACTGATTCCAAAAAGAAGTGCATTGCAGTAGTCAAGCCTGGATCTTATGAAAGCATGTATTACTGTCTCAAGGTTACTTTTGGACAGTATGAGATTTAATGTAGACAGTCGCCTCAACTGAACAAAAACAGGATTTAACAATCATGTTTACTAGAAGGTCCATTGTCACTCCCAGATTAGTGAAAAGGTAGCACTTCTATAAAAAGGTAGCACTTCTATAAAAAGGTAGCACTTCCACATAAGAAGCACGCAAGAAGGAGAGGACATAGAAATTCCCATGGGGAGAATGCATTCTCAGCTGACTCACTTATTTTACCGCAGCTCTGTGGAAACAAAATGTTAACTCAGCAACACTATCACATGATTTGAGTCAGAGTGGTATATCATGCTTTATTCAGGCTCAGCTGTGTTTTACAGTAATTTTATATATAAATTATAAATTAGTTATGAAAATGAGACGTTCACTGGAAAAAAAACAGTCACCTAATTTTCTCTTACATCACCTCTCTGTTCAACCTGAAACGACAAGTTTTACTGAGGTTTGATCTTCTACCCCAGAAATGTGGTGCACCTCTACATAACAGCATGAGGGAAAAAAGTAAAATAAATAAATAAATGTCACCCCTCTCCCCTGGGAATATATAGAAACCACAGGCCCTCTCTGGTTATATCTCCAACCCTTGTTCCCAGGGCTCTTCAGAACAAATCCAAGCCCTCTCACTCGAACACTTGCAGATAAATAAAATCTGCCAAAATGGCAGAGCATTTCCAAACCAAACATGAAGAACAACAGCACACACAACCCGTGGATTTCAAAGGGAGAGGAGAAAAAACAGAAGCCCCTCCAGAATAGGAGCGCGTGGCATCTGTTGATGCTGGCATCTTTCGTCTCTTCATCTCCAAGCCAAGACTGGTGATCCATTCAAGTGTGTGTGTGTGTGTTAGAGAATAGTTGTGTGTATGAGGGTGCAGAATAGAAGGGGGATAGCCATGTGCTAACATGTGCAATGTGCATTGACCCCACTTGGCCCCCATATGTTGCTCAAACAAGAAGGATGGCGAGTTACAAATCGACTCCGCTTGTTTTCACCTGTTCCCCCCGCCCTCTACATTTCCTCCTTACCAGAGCTTCCATTTGTTTGAAAGAAAACACATCTGTTGGACTGTTCGGCCGCACCATATAAAGTACTGCACTCAGCCTTGTGCACAAATGAGATTTCCTGAAGCACAACCGTGGAAATCTGTATGAATGTGAAATTACCATTAACGTTTTATTCCTTGAGAGAATGCAAATTATTTTCTACTTAAAGGACTTCTTTTGTCATCCTGAATGAGCAAAGGCAATAAATTGAGTTTAAAATAATGTGGGTTTCTGGTATAATGGCAATTATTGTTCAATTAATTGAAATTAATGAGCGCATGGATACACTCCAGCCATAATGCGTCATCTCTGGTCTGATTGCAGAGAAGAAACAGGTTTTGGAGTAGATGCAGAAAGCTTGTTGCCAGGAATGTGCAGATATTTTATTGTATGTTTCGGTGGGAGTATTGCCATCAACCTCCTAGAGAAACGGTCCTTGTGCATTTAAAAAATACAAATAAAATAATAATAATAGCTTGATGGCATGCCAGGATTTGGACATCGTTTCCATGGAGTGGTCCATGCATTCAGATGCCAAGTCAGTGGGAACCCTTTGAAAAGCTTAATGGTGTGTTTTTGTAGCACATAAATAAAGAATCTCTCTTGCATGCCATTGTACAGGTCTGAAACCTTTTGTACCACTTCTGAGTGCCTGTGCAAAACCAAGCTACTTTGTGCCCAACATGTGAATTTCTGTTAATGTGTTGGAGCAAGAATGAGCTATACTCAAGTAAATAAAATGCTTAGAAAGCAGTACAATAATTCAAGGTAATGTGCCTTATACATTACTGAACAGCATTAATACCTCTTTTAGTCTTGTAAACATTTTGTAGAGAAGCATTTAAGCAACAGCAACCCACCCATGACTCTCAGGGCCACAGAGACGGAGGATTATTCTGCTGCTGCATGATTTATCATCCATCAAACAATAGCCTTTTAACAGCCATGTGCTTCCTCTATAATGCATGTCGTTCACCTTAAAAATGGACATTTGGATAACTCATAGCAAGTTGCTGCTGCAGCAGGCAGGAGCCTTCTCCAAGATGAGTCTGATTCACATGTGTGGCAGCGTGCACATCTCACATTGATGTTCAATCATTCCTCAACTGTGCCTGAGATGATTGGTTGCACTTTCATACCCCACCATCGCCACAGGTTTATAAATTTGCAGAGCTGAAACGTGAGGTGAGACCCACTTTGGCCTGGGTTTGGTTAGTGTGATGTTGAGCCCTTTGTGTTTGTGTGCGGAGCGCTTCCTGCAGGGCTGTCCGTCTGCTGTCTGCCTGGACTGGATATAGGGGGGCTTGCTGTGGGAAGCCAACCATGACCAGCTGGGCTCTCCCTGCCCACAAGGAGCTCAGGAGCAGGAAGGGTGCAGCCTGTCTGCATCTGCAGGTTGTTAACCTCGTATCTCATTGCACTGACACATCAATTATTGTTATTAAGGGGCCGGAGTAATTTATTTATATACTGATTTCCCACCAGACTAAGGCAGGACTAATTGAGCCAGGTGTGAGTATTTGTCTCTGCTCATGCTGGATGTGCTGAGGGAAATCAGAGGATATGGTGAGCATGCTGCACACAGCTAATAAGACATCTTGTGGTATAGGGAGAATCTGGAGAATGATACTTTAGAATGTGGAATAAGATTTGATTTATTTTATACTTTGTGATCCCTGATGGCAGCAGCAACATAGCAGCGCGGTCTGGTTTTGGTACTCGGAACATGTTTGAAATGTCATGAAACCCCTGCAGTGACTCGTAACTGCAGGAATTTCACTAATAAATAATGGAAATAAATATCCTGATGCATGCTCAATGGAAATAAAGCTCAGTCGCTCCCTCAAATGTCCAGCTTTATTATTTGAGTTTCATTTCAAACTGACTTTGAACCCAAAACGTTCAAAATGTTTTATGTTTATTACCTGAACATTTTTTTTTTAAACCTTTTGCATTGTTGCTAGTTTGGCAGTGCAACAGAAGCAAAGAAGATAAATTGAGGAAATACGTCACCACTGCCTGTGATCTGCTGGATATCAGTCTGAATAATCTGGAATAATCTACAGACTGAGATCCTTTAACAAAGCAGGAAAGATTCTAGCTGATCCAAGCATCCACTTTTTACTGCCTTTAAACTGGTATACCCTCTCATGTAGGAAGTACCAGTACTCAGCTGTTACAAAAGAAATAGGACAAAACAGTCCAGCAGAAAATTAGTTTCTTAAACAAATATTTTAAAAATCAATAGTTTGTATCACTTTCATTTTTCTGCTCAGCTGGCCTGAGCTGTAGGAACGTCATGTTTCATTTTAAGAGATGTTGTTTTTTTTCCCTTGACATGAACTTTTTGTACTTTTAATCATTTAACATAGATGACCACTATGTAGTACTGTGCACTGAAGTTATGAGTTCTGTGGGAAGGTATTTTGTAGTTGATGTCGGTGTGAGAGTTGTCTTTATGTTTGAACTGAAACACAAGTTAACTTTTATCTTTTCTTTTTACACATCAAACCTGTTTTTGTATTTTCTTTTCTTTTTACTTAATGTTGTTTGTTTGACCAAATCCTGGACCTATAACCTTGACCTCAGTGGTCAGGTCATAGATTATGTCATTCTTCACCCTCTGTAATTTTAATTTTAGTCCAGACATTGACTAAATTGGACCTAATTGGACAGCGAACATTTAATAAGTAAAGCTAAATATCTTGTAAGTATTTGTTAAACATGGTGGGCTTTGTTAAAAAGTGTGCACAAGGCAATGAGTCTGGGTTCCTAAAACAATGTTAGTTGGTGCAGGCCAACTCAAACAGCTGTATAGTGCCAGCTAGCCAGAAACGACCCGTACTGTAATTATTTAACTCAGATTTTTGTATAGCTTTTTTAAAACTCAAAGTTTAATTAGCTCAAATTCAACAAATTAGTCATTTTGATCGCATTTTGGTAGAAAACGTTCAGGACCAGATTGACACAGCTGAGTTCAAAATGGTTGGGTCCAAATTTGGTCCAGAAGTGTGTGTTTTAAATGAAGATAGTATGCTTTTATTTTGTTTTCTTTGATAAAATGTGTTGTTCACTGAGAAATATTTCCCCTGAGGGTGACAAATCGGTGTCTTATTCTATTCTATTTTATTCTATTCTGGCTACATATGTCTCGACCTTGAGATTTGAGTAAAGAAAACAAAACAGCATGTCTCTCCTGGGTCTCACTGCATTGCTTCGACCCGTACTCCAACATGCAGCCACCCCCACCTCCCGCACCGAAATGCGTCGTGCGCGTGGGGATGCCGTCCCATTCAAGTCACGTCGTGAAGGAATGTTCACCGCGGATGGGAGTCCATTCTCCCCACCTCTCTCTATAAACACCTCTACATGCATCACTCCATGTTTACACTCAACCACGAGGTTTAGATGAACCCTGCTCTGGGCTGACCTGCACGCGCTCGTGTGCGCACACAGAACGCGCACGAGCGAACAGCATCTTTCGCATCTCTGTGTAAGCATATGAGATCAGGAAGCTTACACGCGTGATGCACATGCAGGTATCGACACCCGCCCTCTCCTCCTCCTCCTCCTCTTCATCATCATCATTAGCATTCGCCCCCAGCAGCATGATAAACTAAATGGATTAGAAAAAGGCGCAGTGGCAAAAAGACGCGTCTCATCACTTGGGAAACTTACCTTTAGAGAGCAGGACCAGGACGAAAGCAGCAAACGCGTTCTGTAAACCAAGACAGCCCATGATGGAGTTCTGATTGATTTCTCTGCGTGTTTCTTTCTGCAGCCAGATGTAAAATGGTAAATCCTCCTCTCTGATGGAAACCAGTTTATTGCAAAAAGTGGATGAACGTCAACGGCAATAACTCTCCGACACGTGACTGGACGAAAACATCAGTCTTGACTTTTCCCTTTGATTCCTCCCGGCGGTCTTCTCCGACGCAGACTCTCTTTCAGTCAAATATTAATGCAGAAAAAAACACATAATCCACACTTGGTTGTCTTTTTGTACCTTGACAAAAATATATATATTCTGATAAAAAGCAGTGGTAGAATTTAAACCGCCCAGAGTTCATCAGATATGATCTTATTTATTGTCATGGAGCAGGTTGGGGGGGCTCTGTGCGTCCTGCCCTGTCTGTTGGTATGCAGCCCGCTTCTCCGCTCCGCTCTTCGTGCGTCGCACAGAGCAGCACTGACTGCGAGGCGCGCAGGATGGGGCATGATTGACAGCTCGAGAAGAGCCCCCTCTCTTCCAATCACCGGCCCCAAGGAGGGAGGCGGGACAAACCGGTGCGCAGAAGTCCCGCACGGAGGGGCAGAGCGAGGAGTCTCTCCGGCCAATGGAAGGCGCGCGGTGGGCGGAGCGGGCACGGCCAGGCGACGCACGGCGCGGTGATAATGCAATGTGATTTATTGCCAGTTTGGTGTTGCTGCAGTACTCGGAGAGGGTAGTCCACTGGGGGGGGACAGGCAGACGGAATAACTACAGGGACAGAGGTGGAGGATGAGTGAGGAGCAGGTGGAGCCACGCATGCGGTGGTTCTTTGAAGTGATGGACGGGTTTGACTCAGATGCTGGAAATCAGCATGTTAGGTGGTGAAACAGCTTATAATGGAAAAATAGGTTTGTGCTATTTTGAAATATACTGAAAATCACCCATAAATTCAGCCATTTTCTTTGAATTGTGGTTCGTTGTGAATTGTGGTTGGGTTATAGACTATCTCTAAAAAAATTGAACATAGTTTGACCTTAAAGGGAGTCACTGTGCTGCTTCACTGAATCTGGACCACAGAAAATTGAGGACAGAGTTGTCTCAGGAGCTTAAAAAGAAATCTATTGACAAGCACGTTAGACCATCTCAAAGCAGTTTTTTGTTCCTCTGACTACAAATTATGTGGGAATTTTAGGCACAAGACTGTAGCTAGGATGTTCCCACAAGAGGAAAACTGATGGCAAACTGAAGAGACAGCTAATACACATGGAAGAGCCCAGAACAACAAGATTAGAGGTGAACTCCAAGGTCTAGGTACATCAGTGTCACATCGCAGCATCAGTTGTTGTTTGAGCCAAAGGAGATTTAATGGGAGAGGACTAAAAAGGCACCACTCTCAAACGAAAATAAAAAAAAGCAAGACTGGAATTTGCCTACAAGAACATTGACAAAACCTTTGGGTGGAGAAAAAAAAATGGAGCCAGCAAAGGCTCGTTTTGTTCTGGGGATGCTTTGCTGCATCTGGTGTCTTGAATCTGTTCAGGGTACGATACAATATCAAGACTATCAAGGCATTCTGGTGCTGCCCAGTGTCAGTTTCAGTATGACGTCATGGGTCATCCAACAGGGTAATGACCCAAAACACATGGCTCAAAAACACCAAGAAGGGTCAGAAATCTGACTGCCTCAAAAGTGCAACAAAAGATTAAGTTAAGGATATTTTTTCCGCAGGCCAGTATCTTTAAAATAAACCTGCTGGATCACAATTCTAAAGCGAAAACTAAGTATCAGTACTGTATTTTTCAGCCTATAAGTTGCAGTTTTTTGCATAATTTACATGCCCTGCGACTTATACACTAAAGCAACTGATTTGTTTTTTGTTTCTCATATTTATATTTATAAACCATTTTTTGACTGAGACATGACTGTTTTTATTCATTCTAACTGAAAATATTGAACACGACCATTGTCAGCCACTAGATGGCACTCGAGTGTATGGCATGCCGTTGTGTCATGTAATAGATAAAAGTGGCTATTAGTGACACAATCGGCTTGCCATAACCCACAACCTTTGTTCAGCGCCGCCACTGCGAAATGCAGCTAATTTGACCATTGAAGTGCGTTTATTAAGTAAAAGTTCAAGTGAGACACACCTTTGCTATAATGTTGAGCAAACAAATAATTGTTTTGGGTGCTTATTTTGTTAAATTTCAAAGAAATGCACAGCGAGTGGTCCCTCTGCGTGCTCCTACTTCTGTGTATCGACTTTTGAAATGCAGCTGATTTGACCGTTATAGTGCATTTATTAAGTAAAACTTAGACTGATACACATCTTTACTATAATTCCGAACAAATAATTGTTTTAAGTGTTAGTCTTGCTAAATTATTGTTAAAGTCCTCTCATGCACTCTCCTGTGGCCGCCATTTGGCAGCCAAGCGATTTTTGGCACAACACGGTCCACAATTCCGGGTTGTCAGCGGTGACCTATAACAAACGTGATGCGTCAGCGGTGATAAATGCGACGCATATGGCAAAGTGACGTATTCATGGATTTTTCCACTTTATTAGATATATTTGGACTGATGCGAATTATAAGACGGTGCGACGTGTACGGCGGAAAATATGGTAGTTGCTTTCCTTTGTAATACCTTTTTGGTCAGTTTCAAGTTATTTCAGCAACCTTTGTGTGTTTTTCTTTCTTTAATGAAAGAGTACCAATTAATGTATGTAAGGTGTGTGCAGTGGGTGGACTGAGTTGTGTCTGCAACCATCTGATTATACAGTTAACCTAATGGTACCTAACATAAACTCATTTAGGTAGACACCTTCCATTTATGCAGAAATAGGCTACTAATGAGCCATTTGTAGGCACGTTAGTCCCTTTGTCTCTGGACTGCATCTGGCACTAATTACATAAATGGCTGTTGCTTTTAGCAAGAGGCCACTGCAAGCAAGTAATCTTGTTTTAAAGCTTGAGGCCAGTAGACATGAAGCTGTCGAATACAGAAAAGTTAGACTTGCCAATTTATGCCTACAATACAAACAGATGTTATTTCAATACAGTTGAAAAGTGTTGCCTTCTTTATCTAAAACGTGCCGTTTAGTGGTCCATATTTTCAATACTTACAGTGTATGCAAACAGGTATTTTCATATTAGTTATTTATTGTTTTATATTTGACTGCTGCTTTCTTTTTATTCCCAGAATAACCAATTAATACTTTACAACAGCTGAGTTCATAAGCAATCCAGCAATGCCAGCAGATAGGATCGTCTGACAAAATAAGAACAAATGCAGTGGGGGATAAACAACCTGCGTATTTGGCTCAGATTAAAGATGAAGGAAGATGAGATGACCCAAATTAAGAAAACCCAGGACTGATTAGATGTTGAACAGTTAGTATTAGTTACATATGGTGAGTCGTCAGGAAACATTTGTTTATTCTTATCTAAAGGCATATCACATATCACCCACTGACATTCATATCCAAGACTTAGAATAAGATGTTCATTTTAAGAAATGATGACTAGTAATTGTTTAGGCTAAACCTTAAAATTAACTTTGTGTGCAACCTCATGCAGTATTGTGAGATATCGCACTAGCGTGGTTGTTGTGAACAAATCTCAGCTACTATCACAACAAATTTAAGCTCGGTATCCATAAAACTGATTGGCCTATAGCTATTTTGTGGACTAATGTTGTTATCTGTGGTGGCCATGCTGAGTTAGATTGACTCCAAAATGTTCATCAGTTGTAGACATGCAGTAGTTACATATTGAAAAGGTTATGGTAGCTCTGGGGTTTAAGTCTTGTAATCCAGGGGCTGCTGGTTTGAGCCCAGGAAGGGCACATTGATCACTCTTAGCTACCGGACACCAAAGTTTTTAGAACCATATTTGTGAAACAGATAGAGATTTAGCCATTTATATGTTTATTACATTCAGGTGGCTATGGCATTTATCTTGAACTGAATCAGCTCCAAAGGTTAAACAGTTCTAGATGTAACAAAAGTTCAGTCAGGTCATCTGGATTGTTTCTTTTTTGTTGTTGAGATGTTTCGTCCATCCAAAGGACTTTTATCAGTCTGAGGAGACACACCAAACTGAGTCTCACAAGCAGCACACTCGCATATAGGGCTTTAGCAGACTACTCGAGTAATCAACAGGTCGATTCCTAGGACATCTATCGAGTTTTAAAATTTCACGTCGAGTATTCGCAGTGACGTCATTGTGTCATGTGATCCGCACCGGGCTACTAGTAGAAGCTACCAAATGGATTCCTCCCAGCAGGTGGACTGAGCAGAGCAGGCCCAGTCTTGGCAAACAGGTAGAAATGCATCAATAGTATGGAAATATTTCACTAAAGATGAATCTTCCGGTGCAACTACCAAAAGGAAACAGAAAATGAATCAACTTCCTGACTGTTTGGAGCTCGTTGCGAACCGGTGTTATACCATATTCTGTGACCACCGTATATTGTGACCGTAGGGGGGCAGTGTTGCATGCCCTGTTGCAGGTCACAGAATATGGTGTAACACTGGGTCCAATCGACCGAACCAGAACCAGCTTCCTTCTGACCTTGTTTCACAAACTAAAAGCAAAAAATATTAGTCTCTAAACCTATAAAAAACCTATAAACATATTAATCTCTAAAACTAAACCTAACACACACCACAGCTGGCGGTGGTGGTGCAGGGTGGTCGACCGCCCCACTGTTTTTAAGTTTAGTTTTTGACATGCTGCAAGTTATTTCTTTCACTTTTGCAGCTTAATAATAATAACTAATAGTTTTGGTTTTCCTGATACTTATTTGCAGTATGATAAATGGTAGGAGCAAAATATAATATAGTTTTGTTGGTCTTTTTTTGTAAATAATAAATGACTTTTTTTGCGGTTTTATTTGTTTATTTAGTTTTCATCTTGAGATCCTATGATGTCATCCACTACTCGAGTTCTACTTAAGTTTTATTATGTTAATGTCGAGTTTAAAAATTATCTGTTCGTTCAACCCCTACTCACATAGTGGGCCAACCAGTTTGCTGGTGTTGAGATTGTTTCTGGGGCCCACCTTCTCCCCCATCGACTCCTCTGAGGCAGCCGTAGCCAAAGTGGTTCAAAACATCAAAGTTCATGCTCAATAATCCAGGTAGAAAATCCAACAATGTTCAGTCAGGTCAACTGGACGGTTTTCATCTTATCACCAGCAAATGTTTGGTCCACTATGTGAGTGTACTGCTTGTGGGACTGAGTTTGTTGTGGCTTTTCGGACTGATGAAGTCCTTTGGATGAAGGATGAAACATCAACAAAATAAAAAAAAGGAACCCTCCAGATGACCTGACTGAACTTTGTTGAATTTTCTTCCTGGATCATAGAACATGAACTCTGAAGTTAGATGTACATTCAATGATTACTTTCAACCAGTTTTATTCAAATGCCTCCAGTGGTTCATTAGATATTTTGCTAAC